TGCCGGACACCGGGCACCACAGGCGCCGGACACGACGGTCGGCCCTGGGCTGTCACGTCCGGTGGACGGGCGCGCGCACGGCCCGGTCGCCACGGAACAACTGGGGTGCCGCTATCGATACCGGGAGGCGCAGCGGACGCGCGCACTTGTGATGACCACAGGACAACCGCTAAGGTGCCGGCACGGCTCCTCCCACAGACGGGGAGAGCGGACAGCGCGAGCGTGACGCACCGGCAGCAGGGCAACAGCTCTGCGCCGACATCACCCGCACGGGTGGACGAGCTCCGCACGTGACATGCAACCAGGAACGGAACGACCTTCGTGCCGACACCAGCACCGGGACAGGCGGAAAACCCGACACGGTGGTCAATGGACAACAACAGCGGAGCCGAAAACAGGTGCTGGGGGAACAAGGGGCGCGGAAAGCGCGCACATGGCGCCATGGGGACAGGAGAGCAGCCGTGGTGCACGACAAAGCGGAAACACACAGTGGAAGTCGGGGCTGCAGAGGATAACGACCACAAGGCTCCTGTGCCCGGGTCAGATCGCCAGCGGCCTCATCACTGACCACCACCACCATTCCTCGCACCTTCAAGCGTGCTCCCCACGCCCTGTGCAGACCAGGTCATGCGGGGATCACACCACGGATCGCGCCCAAAGGAGCGAGCATGCGGGGGATACCGCGGGCACTGTCTCACAGGTGCAACCGTACAGTCTCGACGTCCATGGTAGCCGCTCACTTTGGACGGCACCCACCTAATGCGTGGCGTTTTAACGCACCGTCTGTTCGAACAGAGCCAATAAAACACGCTTCCAACTGCACTCATAATCTACGCAGTCATCGAGGGGACATGTGTAAGTAGTCAAATATGACCATCTATGGTCATTGTCACACATGGTCAATACTGACCAACGCGAACGACGTACGCACTGGATGCTATGGCAGCATCCATCTCACAATCTACACCCCAATGCATGGGGTTGTGACAAAATCCACGCCCCTGGCGCTAAAACACCTCCCGACAAAGCAGCACACCACTGACGGCGCCGAGCGAGCCCCGTTCCCAGAGCCCGACACCAAGGACGTGTCGTAACGGCGGCGGCGGCGGCCGCGGACGGCGCCCGACAGCGTGGCAGGGTGGGGACCGGGCGCCTCCCTCCGGACCGCCGGTCCCCAGACGGACGCAGCACAGCACAGCTCTCCACTCTCGCGGCGTTCGCGTCCGCAGAGTGCCGTCTACAGCAGCGCACAGCGGATGGTGCGTGGCACCAACGCAACAAACGCCGCACTGACGGGGCAGATAAACGGCACCACGACATCGTCACGTCACGTCACGTCACGCAGAACAGTCATGGATGCCATACAATGACGCGGTTCCCTTCCTCACTGATCAGTGGCGATAATCAGCGTCGATCGGACGCGCGGCACCAGCCCACACCGTCACACCAAACAATAATGGATGAAACAGCAATTCGCACTTCTCTTGCATACCCATCACAGTAGCAGTGGCACTATGAGGCAGTAGTGTTTTAAATCTCTCGAGGGGATTGAGCCTGCCGAGCCTCCGGGGCGCTGGCGCCACCCGGGACCGAGTCGCGCGCAACGGCGCCGGGGGTGGCGCGGCGTGGACACACCACGACACACGGCCATTTGCAGTCGTGTCCATCGGGTCGGGCTCCTGCCAGCAGTGGCTGAGCGGCGCTCATGGACGAGGCAGCGCACGCTTCGCAGCGCGCGTGGTCTCCCTCAGCTGCCCTTGGGCCCTGTCGGCGCAGTAGTAGCGCGGGTTTGCCAACGCGCGTGCTTTTCTCTTTGTCAAGCCGTCCCTCTGTGAACGCAACAGCGCGGGCCGCGCGCCGCCTTTTCGTGCACCAGACGCTCACGAACGCAGCGCACACCTGTGCTGGTCGCATCGTCGGAAACCTCTCAGAGCGCGAGGTCCCGCCTCCCGATCCATCCAGGCGCCGTCTGCAGCGGCCAACACCGGCGGACGATGTGTGTCTTGCCTGAGCACGGCCGAGGAGGTCGGAGCGCTGCAGCGTGCGCGGAGCTCGCCACCAAGGTCGCCTCCAATTCGCATTTCGAGCCGGGCCTGCAGCCGGTCGCAACGACGCGTTGCTACGCAGCGCGCTCGCCCGCAGGCAGGGCCGCGTCGTCCCGTGTCGGGCTGCCGCAGCCCCCCCGGCGCCGCGCCGTTAGCCGCGTCACATTCGCCGCAGCGGCATCCGACACGTCGTCACATCACCGCAAAGCGGTGGCGCTGCCGGCGGCGGGCCGGAGGTCAGCCGAGCAGCCTCAGCCGAAGGACAGCGTCCCGGGGTCCCGCTCAGCTGGCGCAGCCTGGAAAACAGTGCTGCAGCCGTCCGGAGGCGGACTCGGAAGGTGGCCACGCGCCGGAGACGGCGCTGCCACGGCGAGCTCGGCCCACCGGGCTGACCACCTTCAGCTTGACTCCCCGGTAGACCCTTGGCTCCCCCGCGCGAGACCCTCCACGATGCGATGGATGAACCCCAAGGTCGTCGTGGCTGACCTGTGGTGTAGGCGCTGTTTACACCCCTGTAACCGGTTTGTAACGGCGCCTACACTACAGGTGAGCGACGGTGAGATGCTATGACCAGCCGTGTGCTATGTTAAGTCCGAGGGGACGACGAAAACAGCCACACGCGACATCAGCCTGCGAAATGACCAGGCCCACAATGTTTTGCACGGTATTTGTGACAACACGGGCAGTCGGCAGGAGACAAAGCACTGCTGTTACGACTGGTGTGTCCTGTGAGGAGTGCCACAACCATCCAGCGCCAATGGAAAACCAGCATGGTGGTGGAGGCAAAGAATGGCCCGTAGCAGTCCCAAGAACGAAATCAAAGGAAGGAAAGAGCAGTGCTCTCGTTTGGACATAAAAAGGAAACCAACGTGGATGTCCCATTGCAATTACAAATCCCATGAACGATTGATAAGTTACTGGCATCCACACCGCGCCCCACACCGGGTCCATCAGGCAGGGCCAGCAACCAACAGGGTGACAGGTACCGGATGGCAGCGTGACCAAGACCAGTGCCGAGATGCCCATCCCCATGGGAAGCCAACTAAACCACGAGCGTCCATACATCTATGGAAAGCCACGAGAGCTCGGCCTGCGCTCTACACCAGTATAAAAAGAAAACACCCAACGCCGTCCAGAGGATGGGCCGACCAGACGTGGGGCGCGGTGCCAGCGCAGAGTGTGGGGCGCGGGCCGGGACGTCAATACTCCACAGCACGAGCGCACCAGTGCGTGGCCAGAGCGGCGCCGCAAACCATACCCCCGAGCTCTCCGCGTCACCGACGTCCGAGCAGATCGACGGGCTCCATCTCGTGGGCGTACGTCCGACGGTGGTCGTCCGTGTCGTCACCGGATTCGACCGGCTCTTCGGCCGGGGCCGCCCCGCCGCCTGTCCCTGCACCATCGCAGGCGTCCGGCGCCAGTCAGCGCGAGCACATGTACACGCGCACACACACACACACACACACACACACACCCACACCCACACCCACACCACACCCACCCACCACCACACACACACACACACACACACACACACACACACACACACACACACACACACACACATACCCACACACACCCACACCCACACACACACCCACACCCACACCCCACACCCACCCACATCCAAACACACCCACACCCACAACCACACCCACACACACACAGGGACAGACCTCCGCTCCTCAGTCAGGCATACTGACACACACACACACACCACACACACACACAGACATGTACACACAGACATACAAACACACAGCACGGCGGCGTACGCACGTGTCAACACGACCGACGCCGCGCGCGGGCCCGGCGGGCGGCACGCGACGGATGCGGTAGAGCACTGAGCATAATGTGTGCTGGACACGCGCCACCCCGGGGCCCGGCTGCCGCACTCGCCGGCGGCCCAGGGACAGCCTGGCCGTGTCTCGGGCGTCATGGGCCCCCCATTCCCCGCGCGGCGCGCGACGCCACTGCGGTGACCACGGCTCAGCGGTATGACAGTACACATTATGACAGTACACGCACGCACATAGACATGCCAGTGCACGCACAGCTTACATTGGGCGGCGCCGGCTCCACTCTCATTTCAGGCCAAGGAGCAGGCATCAATGGTGCGTATAGTGCGGCTAGATCGCAGTTTGCCGTGTTCGCGCAAGTCAACGCACTATTTGTCGGGAACGCAGCGCACTAGCACAATGTTCATCGGCCAGCATCCAAACGGACACCGAGACAAGATCACAGCTGGGTTAGGCGTGCGTGTCTGGATAAACAGATTCGCTGTCAAACTGCGCACAGGTAATAACAACAGGTGCGCAAAGGTGCTTGATCACGACACGGATGACTTACGCGTTCACTGCATAATGAGCAGTGTGTACAGAGAGAGCGAGAGCGAGAGCGAGAGCGCGGCCACCAAACGGCATTTGTTGACAGCACATCATCGAGTGACTTTTGTACGCACGTACGCTCACATGGGAAACGACGGCAAGCTGCAATGTACACCAAAAGGCCAACAAACGCTCGAGGTGCCTCGAATAAGAAAGAAAGATATTCAGCTCCTGGTTTTTCGGCATTACGAGCTGAAATGTTTCATAGATAATACAGTAGTAGAGGCCTTATTCCTCGTAGAAACACCAGGTGAATGTGGATATAGATGCGTTGATATTTCGGCAGCACCTCTTTATCGAAGCAAAGAGCAGTAGGAAACTGAAAATTGCCTGCCGATGATGCCACTCAGTTTTTTTTTAAAACAGTAAGTCACAGTTTTAACAGGCCACCAACATTCAGGGGATTAAGATAAGAACAATTGCCAGCCATTACTACGACACGGCGCATATCTATGGATCAGAACTCGCGAAAAATACGCATACATGCAAGCGATTTCAAGTGAACAGGCATCGCGAATCACGCATAAAATAGGTACTCAAACAATTTCAGTTAAACAGGCATCAGGCATGTATGAAAGAAGCATGTATCAAACAGGCATCAGGCATGTATGAAAGAGGCATGTACGCGGGGTACCTGACGCGTGATGCGCAATGCTTGCTCAGTTGAAATAGTTCTGCATGCATAACTTAATGTAAAACTATTTGTCTTTACACGCACCAATTCTACATGTAAATAAATTTACATGTATCAGTGATACGTGATGCCTGTTCGCTTGGCATTGCTTGCATGTTTGACTGACGTGTGACGCCTGCTTACTTGAATTCGTTTTCATCACTGAATGTTGGTCGCCTGTAAAACTGTGGCCCGCAATAAAAAACGACTAAAAATCCAGGAGGGTCATCGGCAGGCAACTTTGAAATCGCTACTGCTATTTGTTTCGACACAAGTATGTTGCGGGAATATCAACGCATCTACATCTCCATTCTCCAGGTTTTTCTACGACGAATAAGGCTAGTACTACTGTCTATCTATATGCATAATTCTTCTCGCAAACGCTCCTACTCCTGAATTTTTATGTTGGGTTAGCGGCCTTCTATACACCAAGGACGAGCGGACACAAATCAAAGCCTTCAGAGCCGCCAATATAATGTTACCATTACAACGTCCTTAACCAGCACCTCCTAGTATAATGCACGACGCTGACTCAACGAGCATTCAACTGACATATGTATAAAAAACGAGTGTGCCGACGGAGCGAGCACAACGCAATACGTGCAACACAGAAGTATGTTGTGCGAGTCCGAGTCCACCGGGGACGGAAGCAAATAGCCTCTCCTTAACACACAAGAGTGCCGTCGAGTTCAACTGGAAGCTGACATCTGTACCAGGAGGGTACAACAAACCAGCACCTCACACCGCGAGCGCGTCCACATCGACCGGCTCTCTCGTGCGCGTCCGCTGGCCAACCCCTCCGGGGCCCGGTATATCGGGAGTCCGGGTACGTGCTATCACCACCTCCGCCGGCCGGCCGGCAGGGACTGGGCGCCCGTCTCGCACGACCCGCTGACGACGACACTGGCTAGTCACAAGCGCCGCCGAGGGGAGGGGGACGCCGACGCACCGTCCCCGCAGCCGTCTCTTCTCACCTGGCAGTCCGGGGTGTCCGGACGGACGGGGCGCGCCGGCCGTCAGGCCGGACGACCCGGACACGGCCGCCGCTGGACCGGAGGGTCCGGGTGCGGCCGGCTCGGCCGTCCACTCGTCCGGACAGCTACGCCTCCTGTCCGGACCGTCGCCGGATGGCTCATCGGCTGCACCGCGCTTGCTAACATTGGCGTCGACGTCGGCGTCGGCGGCGGCGGCGGCGGCAACCGGAGCCGGCCGTTCCTCATCCACCGGCGAAAGGTGCTGCAGCAGCAAGGACCTGCCGAGCCGAAACGACACCGTCATAGAGGGCAGCACCGGCGGCCGGCGGCCCACGCGCTGCTATGCGTGGCGCGGACTCGCTGCGTCCAAAGGGCGCTGGGTTCACGGCCTTGGCGGTGTGAAGCAGGCCCACCAAAAGAAGCGTCGCCTACGTGCCGCAGCCACTCATGACGTCAGCTAGACAGGAAACGGGTCAGCATATGCTGGAAGCCCTGGTTTGAAATGGGCAAAGACTGAAAGTTCTCCAGTATTAGTTAAACACCAAAATTACATAAATGATGAAATGAGCACTTCTGGCATTCAAACTAACTTTGTTTAACGAGAGGAGCTTATGCACATCTTGCAATACACACATACACGCATAACATGCGCCGACAAGACCGGCCCACAGTGCAATAACCATTTAAACGCCGAGTGCAAACGCTATGTAATACACTTCCTCAACCGGGCAAAACAGCAACTGTCCGTTGAGGGCGCCCGCAAGCGCGAGCGCGCGTCTTGTTCACTGCGTAGCGCACGCTTAAGAGGGCAAGGTGAAAGGGGCAAGCACAATCTCTCCGCATCCGATCCACCCACCGGGCACAACTTCGGTGCCTTTACACGGACTGACAGACCAGATGGATACAATCTGGACCATCTGCATCAAGCACGTACCAAAATAAGCATTTACAGGCAAACGTCACTGCACAGACTGGCGGCGGATAAATACGTCACAGGCCTTCCCACAAGGGACACACGTGTTCTCCACAAGGTGTCCACGACCAAACGGCCCTTAGACGAGACCAACCGTCAAACGACACTACTCGAAGATGTGTCATATGTCCTTCGTGAACAGTCCGCCACACGCAATAAGTGAGCAGCAAACAAACCAAAAATGCTATCTATTACAATAATGTGATGCGACTTGGCGGTCTGCTAACCCACTTTGCCTTCAGTTGCTTTGCGTTGGTATCACGGAATGTCCCTTCAGCCCTTAAGTCAGCCAAGCGTTAACGTGCCCCGGGTGCTCCACTCAAGGGGCCCTTGCCTGGAAAGAAATAAGGGTCTCAATATCATTTCACATTCACAAATTTTGTGATCGGGGTGATCTTTGGTTTCATTTGCGTCTAGGACGCTAAACCGAACCCGGAAAGGCCTTGATATTGAGACCGAAAGGCCGGAAGCCACCGCCGAAAGGCCGGAAGGGCGGGGGGGAAGGGGGCAGCTATCCAGAGCCGTGACGACTCCGAGCCGCGGCGAGTCGCGGCGGGCCGCCGGCCGGCGAATACCGGCCCGAATGCACTGACGTGGGGCGGCGGCGGCGCGGCTCCCATACTTAGTTTCGTCCCTGGTGAAGTGAGGCACACCGAACACCCGGCCGAGCGGATCGCCCTCGCAGATGACGCGGCTCCGGTCCTGCGGGTCCAGCAGGCTCGGCCGCCGCTGCGCCAGGTACCGGATAAACATGATGATGACCTGCGGACGCGCACGCGGCGTCACCAGGGCCGGCCCACTCAGCGGACAGCACACGGTTCGCCTCGGTTCAGCTTTCCGCCGGCAGACCCGGCAGCGCGCCGGCGCCGTGATGTTCCCTACGCACGCCAGTATGGATGCTGAGCGAATACAACTGGCCGTCCACTCCGTCTCGTTGTCAGATTGGAATGTACCATGGCATGTCCGTAATCGACCTAGTGTGCCCACAAAGCATCAACTGAGACATGGCCTTTGATGCCTCACTTGTTTCGCTTGAACAGGATGCGTGCCCTACTGCTGCTATGGATGCGTTAAGTCCCGGATTCTTGAAGACATCAAACACACGAAACTGGTCATGGAATACTTACATCTTTCCACTCATATGGTTTTTCCCTTTGTGCTCCAACCTCAGCCAGGACGTGGAACAACTGCTCCTTCAGCCTATATTTTCTTTCTGCAAGAAATGACAATCCGGTCATGGTAAGAAATCCACAAGAAGAAATGAAGATGACAAATCGATGCATCATCCGATACACCGATTACTCTAATCCTATGCACCAGAATTCGTTTCTACCAAAAGGGAATCAAGATGTCCTCACAATAATCATATGCATACCATTCTTTTAGTAGGTTGCATTTATAATTAATTTTCGGTCACGGACTTTGCTAACGGAATGTTCAAGTTCACACCAGATGAAGCGGACACCAGATGACAGCCATTATTGACAGCTGTTTTTCCCCTGCAAACAAGTGGTCAAATGGCAAACATTTCCCATACTCTGATCAAAAATTACAATAAATCACAGGCGATAAAACACACTAGCTCTGTACAGGTAGACTACAGTATTCTCCACTATAACATATTTCTATTCAGCAGATGTTTCAGAGCGCATGTGGATTGATTCACAAATTTTGTGATCGGGGTGATCTTTGGTTTCAGTTGCGTCCGGGACGTGCTCGCTAAACCGAACCCGGAAAGGTCTTTCTAAGTCGTCAAAACATGATACACCTTCCGCCCTACCTTTGGATTGTGTTTTGCCCTTTCGCCTTTTATTTATCGTTATTTGTTCGGTCAAAATGTGAAAGATGTGTGCCATTTGATCACGTGTGTGCTGGGTAAAAGCCCGCTGTCAACACGGGTTAGAATCTGGTGTCGCTTTATTTTCAAAATTTTCGATTCTGTAAGAAAGGTCCTGACAGAAAATTAATATAGAACACAACCTACCTCATAAAGATGACATGCGTACTTATTGTCAAAGGGTTATCTCAATTCCGTTTTAGTACCTACCGTGCCTTACACTGCACAAGCACTGAAACATTTTAGAGTTAAAGAATATGTTTCTCTCACTGGGCAATACATTTGGGCACAGCACATTGATCACTCGATCAAATTCGATCAATTTTGATCGATTTACGTGCTCTGCAATCGTCCCGACTGCATTCATAACTACACAAGCAATGCTAGGCAGCGACCGTGTTGAGAAGATAGTCATCCCTGCCGACCGAACCACATGCCTGAGCGATTTTCAAGGTTCCGCTCACTGCGGTTTATGTTACGAGGACGTGACAGTCGAGGCCGTTTTTGTAACGATATTGGTCGCTTCCCATTCGAGCATTGACGTTCCTTGGAATGGAAAGTCCCGTGCTTGGAATGGGAATTCCCGTGCCCGCTATAGTTATAGGCGATGCGCGTGCCTCCACTGTGGAGGCGGGTGCAGGCCACCACCTGTGCTGCTTGCCGAGATTTGGAATCAATCCTACACAAAGCGGAAAGCCCATCGACCGAAGGCCACTCCAGCGTGCGTGACGTGCTGTATGCAGTGGCGGACATGTGCGCTAATACGCTGGCCGTGTCTCTTCAGATCACAGTATGTTGACCGTGTGTAGTTGGGGTCAAACGTTGTCGACACCATGGCCTGAGCCCGTGTCGAGTGTTGGAAAGCAATTTGAACGCCTTCAAATTTGACGTTTATGGAGAGCAATAAATGCAAACTGGGCTCACGCGAAGCAAATAAAATGCAAACCAATCAGGTTATTTTGCAATGTTGCACCTAAGACATCCCTGGTCAAACAGTTTGTGAGGACATTTCTTGATAATACCAGAAGGTATATTGTGCCTGACCATGCGTTGCAAATTTCGTCGCTGTTTTGGTAATGGTCATGCCCCACAGCCAGTATTTTGGCTCATGTCGGGTTGACTTCTGTTGCAAACTATACTTAAATTTTCGCTCACTTCAGCTGGCAACTGCAACATGGATAACTTTGTCGGATAAGCAGTCTTTTAAATGCAAATGCCGAACAAAGTGAGTGGAGGTTGAGCGAACGTGCACTTGTCAATATCAATCGGACATGAAATGACAGAAATAATGCGTCAAATAATGCTGCACAATAACACAGCTCACTGATAACGCTTGATCTTGGAGACCCGTGAATTGCAGCTAACTGCAGAAGTATACAACTCTTAAGTGACGAACTATACAAAACTGCGGCTTCACGCATGATTCGGCCATTTTGACAAACATTCATGCGTCCCTTAGCATGGCTCTGAGGGCTGAGAGGTGACCTTCTTTGATCTTGAGGACACTCCCAATTCAATTCTCAATAAAAAACATTAAGATAAGTCAATAAGACATGGACAACTTTATTCCCAATGACCTAATTCATGCAAACGCCCAGTATGCAATGCCAATTATTTACATGCTTGTATATTTGCGGGATGTAGTGATCCATTGCATCTGTTGAAAAATAATCTTTTATTGATCCAGTTTGAAATGACCTGGGTAACTGAAGTAAGCTGAAATAGAACAACACATATGCTATCCACACTTGCTTTTGGAACTAAATAAGATAGACAAGTTAATTTGTTATGCTGAGAGCAGCCCAACCTTCAACGCAATGGGAGGAGCTGGTTAAAAGAAATGCTACACATTTGAAGATGCTGAAGCACCACATGTGATGATAGAAGCACACTTGTAACTGGAAAAGACTACTCTAGATTTTAAACATAATTCTTCTGTTTAGTAAACAAGCCGCTCAACATGAAATTGTTGGATTATATCATTGTACCCTGCACACCATTGAGAGCCAATCGATGACGTATATCTGTAAATTGTGTTGAAGACCATCATATATGAACAGCCCAAAAGTTATGTCCTTGAGATATGCATTCACTAGAATTGGCAGTGCCCATTTTGACTTTTTTCAAAATTGGTGCATTGTACCATAGAAAATAGATGACTGTATGTCCCACCAACAAATGATTGCTCAAGAACTACTACCATCATAACCTGCGCCAGCAATCATGGTTTGCTCACTCGAAACCTTTATTCTTGAACTATAACATGCATATGAATCTTGCCCTGAACTCACCGCAGTGGCCTGACATTACCATTTATGACTGAAATTGGCAAGTAAGAACAATTGTCTTTCCTTCTGCAATGCAAATTATTTAATCACAAAAGCTCCCCCAACAGATACGCTGGTTTGGAGTTTAACACATATCAACTGTAAATGATCATGCAGCACTGATAACTTGGCATCACAAAATCCTCCCATGGCGTCCGTGTCTGAAACTTTGGTGCTTCTTGTTGATTTGAGCTCCGACACATTTTGTTCTGTACAAATATACACTGGAAAGAATGTAAAATTTGTTCTCTGTGAGCGACGTCAGACGAAGGCAAGCTGAACCTGCAACTTCGACAGCATCGCGCACCACACTCACGACTGAACGAGAGATACTGCTTGTGGGTTACAGCCGAATATCTCTGTCATATCACACACAATCTCTCCTTGCAATGCCTTCAGTGCCCAGGTCGGTTGCTGCTCGCCAGCACAGGTTTAACCCACCCACCGGCCAACGACACCGACGCCCCCATACGTGGCGCCCGAGCCCGCCTCAAAACAACAACAGCGTCTCTTGACGGGCCAGGGAGAAGGGCAGAGAACATCTCGTATGCGTCCCGTGGATCAGACTGTCCGCCGTGGAGCGGTCGGGACGGAAGCCATTCTGAAAAGGTAAAAGGTGATTCGACTCTAGGAACACCCTGATACGACCGTTGACCATTCGTTCGAATATTTTAGAAGCGCAGCTGGTAGGAGAGATGGGGCGATAGCTCGAAGGTTCAGAGGGAAGCTTAGAGTATGGGGAAAAAAGTGTGCTGGAGCGCCATGAGGGAGGGAAGGATCTGTTAACCCATATATCGTTAAAAGCCGTCAGAAGGTTGATGAGTCCAAACCTAGTGACATTTCTAAGGAAAGGGTAGGCCAACTGGTCTGGATCGACAAAAGTGTTTCCGCACTTACTGATCGCAAGGTCCAATCCGTAAGGTGTGAAGATTACGTTGAATGTCTCAGTGTTAGCAGATGTGAAGTTGAGTGCGAGCAGTGTGGCATTAAGCGTGTTAGTGATCTGGTGGGAATACTGCTCGGATGATGATACACGGGCGAAGCGTGCGGCTAATTTCGTGGCGACTTCGAATGGGACGCTGTACTGTTGGTTGCTGACTACAATGTGCGGGGTTTTATAATGTGGCGTGTGTTTGTTTGTGAAACACCGAACCGGTGACCAATTTGTACATACGGGGGTAAAGCGGTTGAACGTATTTGAAAATTACTCCCAGCTTTCCTGTTTTGCACGTTTAATGATTATATCGGCTTCATGTTTAGCTCTGCGAACCTTTTCTTTATGAGCTATGCAAATGCAATTACGAAAGGCACGCATAGCACGGCGTCGTAAAGCTACTGCGCGCTGACACTCATCGTTTCACCAGGACGCATGCTTGTGCACTGGTCGACGATGAGTGTGTGGAACAAACTGGTGCGCTGTGGCTAAGGCATTGTCTAGAAATGTAGGGAGTTCGGGAATTGTGCCTGGATGGTGTACCTCATCTATTTGATTTTGGAAAGATGCCCAGTCTGCTTTGCGAACATTCCATCGGGGAAGTAAATTAAAGTCTGTTTGCCCTCATTGGACCTCTACATTCATGTGGATTGGGTAATGGTCACTAATAAGCGGGTCCGGTTGAACATTGTGCGTAAAGAGTGGTGCTATGCGTGGTATTGTCAAGGCCACATCTATACCAGCGTGCGTCACTGTGCCTCCGTGGTGATGAGCATGCGTAGGCGTCAGTCTGTTGATACATATGAGGTCGTAAGTGTCCGTGAGTGCCTGTAAAACTCTCCCCTTGTTTGCGTCGTGTTACAACCCATGCGCGATGATGGGCGTTCAGATCCCCAAGGAGACAGAGCGAGGGAATTTGTGCGAGTAAGGCGGAGAGATCAGCTGAGGAGACACGGTTAGTAGGGCTTAAGCATATAGAAAGAAGAGTAAGGTCTAAATGTGCTAATTTTACGTTCATTGCAACTGAATGGAAATTCTCATTAAAATGAACTTGACGATGCAAAAGGTTATTTGAGACAAACAAGCCGAACGGCCTCGGCGCGTTGTTTCGTTTACGTTATGTGTGCAGAGGCAGTAACCGTTGATCAAAAGGCTATAATTAAAAGAGTCAGAGTTCTTAAATAATGCTGCTTGAACGGTGGCTATCAGTGGTTTGTTTTTGATTCACCGAACTGGGGATTCATTTCGCGGGATTCATTCAGAGTGGAGGGAGACCATCCAGCGGAACAGCGGTGACAGAGCGGACGCGGGGCGCGACGGCCGGAGCGCGTAACGGGTCGAGCTCGGCGTTCAAGTGAGGGACTGACCCGGGAGGTTTGGCGTCGGGGCGCGGCGGCTGGGACATCGGATGGGGCTTCTTGGGACGCCGGTACGGGTGGGGTTGGACCAACACCGGTGGTTGTTGGGGTGAGAGGGCGGGGAGGCGGGCCCACCGACGGATACCTGACGCGTGATGCGCAATGCCCGCTCCAGTGAAATAGCTTTTACATGTGTTGTAATTTTAATGTAAATCCATGTTGTCTTACATGCATCAGGTTCTACATGTAAATAAATTTACATGTATCAGTGACACGTGACTGCCTGTTTACTTGCAATTGTTTGCATGTTTGACTGACGCGTGATGTCTGCCTACTTGAATTCGTTTCATCACTGAATGTTGGTGGCCTGTTAAAACTGTGGCCCGCAATAAAAAACGACTAAAAATCCAGGAGGGTCATCGGCTGGCTATTTTGAATTCGCTACTGCTATTTGTTCCGACAGAAGTATGTCGGGGAAATATCATCGCATCAACATATCAATTCTCCAGGTTTTTCTACGACGAATAAGGCTAGTACTACTGTCTATCTATATGCATAATTCTTCTCGCAAACGCTCCTACTCCTGAATTTTTATGTTGAGTTAGCGGCCTTCTATACACCAAGGACGAGCGGACACAAATCAAAACATTCAGAGCCGTCAATATAATGCTACAATTTCAACGTCGCCTAACCAGCACCTCCTGGTATAATGAACGACGCTGACTCAACGTAAGAACATTCAACTGAAATATATAAAAAAACGAGTGTGCCGACGGAGCGAGCACAACACAATACGTGCAACACAGAAGTATGTTGTGCGAGTCCGAGTCCACCGAGGACGGAAGCAAATAGCCTCTCCTTAACACGCAAGAGTACCGTCGAGTTCAACTGGAAGCTGACATATGTACCAGGAGGGTACAACAAACCAGCACCTCACACAGCGAGCGCGTCCACATCGATCGGCTCTCTCGTGCGCGTCCGCTCGCCAACCCCTCCGGGGCCCGGTATATCGGGAGTCCGGGTCCGTGCTATCACCACCTCCACCGGCCGGCCGGCAGGGACTGGGCGCCCGTCTCGCACGACCCGCTGACGACGGCACTGGCCAGTCACAAGCGCCGCCGAGGGGAGGGGGACGCCGACGCACCGTCCCGCGGCCGTCTCTTCTCACCTGGCAGTCCGGGGTGTCCGGACGGGACGGGTGCGCGCCGGCCGTCAGGCCGGACGACCCGGACACGGCCGCCGCCAGGCCGGAGGGTCCGGGTGCGGCCGGCTCGCGCTCGTCCGTCGCCGGAACTCGCCGGACAGCTACGCCTCCTGTCCGGACCGTCGCCGGATGGCTCATCGGCTGCACCGCGCTTGCTAACATTGGCGTCGACGTCGGCGTCGGCGGCGGCGGCGGCGGCAACCGGAGACGGCCGTTCCTCATCCACCGGCGAAAGGTGCTGCAGCAGCAAGACCTGCCGAGCCGAAACGACACCGTCATAGAGGGCAGCACCGGCGGCCGGCGGCCACGCGCTACTATGCGTGGCGCGGACTCGCTGCGTCCAAAGGGCGCTGGGTTCACGGCCTGGCGGTGTGAAGCAGGCCCACCAAAAGAAGCGTTCGTACGTGCCGCAGCCACTCATGACGTCAGCTAGACAGGAAAACGGGTCAGCATATGCTGGAAGCCCTGGTTTGAAATGGGCAAAGACTGAAAGTTCCAGTATTAGTTAAACACCAAAATTACATAAATGATGAAATGGGCACTTCTGGCATTCAAACTAACTTTGTTTAACGAGAGGAGCTTATGCACATCTTGCAATACACACATACACGTATAACATGCGCCGACAAGACCGGCCCACAGTGGAATAACCATTTAAACGCCGAGTGCAAACGCTATGTAATACACTTCCTCAACCGGGCAAAACAGCAACTGTCCGTTGAGGGCGCCCGCAAGCGCGAGCGCGCGTCTTGTTCACTGCGTAGCGCACGCTTAAGAGGGCAAGGTGAAAGGGGCAAGCACAATCTCTCCGCATCCGATCCACCCACCGGGCACAACTTCGGTGCCTTTACACGGACTGACAGACCAGATGGATACAATCTGGACCATCTGCATCAAGCACGTACCAAAATAAGCATTTACAGGCAAACGTCACTGCACAGACTGGCGGCGGATAAATACGTCACAGGCCTTCCCACAAGGGACACACGTGTTCTCCACAAGGTGTCCACGACCAAACGGCCCTTAGACGAGACCAACCGTCAAACGACACTACTCGAAGATGTGTCATATGTCCTTCGTGAACAGTCCGCCACACGCAATAAGTGAGCAGCAAACAAACCAAAAATGCTATCTATTACAATAATGTGATGCGACTTGGCGGTCTGCTAACCCACTTTGCCTTCAGTTGCTTTGCGTTGGTATCACGGAATGTCCCTTCAGCCCTTAAGTCAGCCAAGCGTTAACGTGCCCCGGGTGCTCCACTCAAGGGGCCCTTGCCTGGAAAGAAATAAGGGTCTCAATATCATTTCACATTCACAAATTTTGTGATCGGGGTGATCTTTGGTTTCATTTGCGTCTAGGACGCTAAACCGAACCCGGAAAGGCCTTGATATTGAGACCGAAAGGCCGGAAGCCACCGCCGAAAGGCCGGAAGGGCGGGGGGGAAGGGGGCAGCTATCCAGAGCCGTGACGACTCCGAGCCGCGGCGAGTCGCGGCGGGCCGCCGGCCGGCGAATACCGGCCCGAATGCACTGACGTGGGGCGGCGGCGGCGCGGCTCCCATACTTAGTTTCGTCCTTGGTGAAGTGACGCACGCCGAACACCCGGCCGAGCGGATCGCCCTCGCAGATGACGCGGCTCCGGTCCTGCGGGTCCAGCAGGCTCGGCCGCCGCTGCGCCAGGTACCGGATAAACATGATGATGACCTGCGGACGCGCACGCGGCGTCACCAGGGCCGGCCCACTCAGCGGCCAGTACACGGCTCGCCTCGGTTCGGCACTCCGCCGGCAGACCCGGCAGCGCGCCGGCGCCGTGATGTTCCCTACGCACGCCAGTATGGATGCTGAGCGAATACAACTGGCCGTCCACTCCGTCTCGTTGTCAGATTGGAATGTACCATGGCATGTCCGTAATCGACCTAGTGTGCCCACAAAGCATCAACTGAGACATGGCCTTTGATGCCTCACTTGTTTCGCTTGAACAGGATGCGTGCCCTACTGCTGCTATGGATGCGTTAAGTCCCGGATTCTTGAAGACATCAAACACACGAAACTGGTCATGGAATACTTACATCTTTCCACTCATATGGTTTTTCCCTTTGTGCTCCAACCTCAGCCAGGACGTGGAACAACTGCTCCTTCAGCCTATATTTTCTTTCTGCAAGAAATGACAATCCGGTCATGGTAAGAAATCCACAAGAAGAAATGAAGATGACAAATCGATGCATCATCCGATACACCGATTACTCTAATCCTATGCACCAGAATTCGTTTCTACCAAAAGGGAATCAAGATGTCCTCACAATAATCATATGCATACCATTCTTTTAGTAGGTTGCATTTATAATTAATTTTCGGTCACGGACTTTGCTAACGGAATGTTCAAGTTCACACCAGATGAAGCGGACACCAGATGACAGCCATTATTGACAGCTGTTTTTCCCCTGCAAACAAGTGGTCAAATGGCAAACATTTCCCATACTCTGATCAAAAATTACAATAAATCACAGGCGATAAAACACACTAGCTCTGTACAGGTAGACTACAGTATTCTCCACTATAACATATTTCTATTCAGCAGATGTTTCAGAGCGCATGTGATTGATTCACAAATTTTGTGATCGGGGTGATCTTTGGTTTCAGTTGCGTCCGGGACGTGCTCGCTAAACCGAACCCGGAAAGGCCTTTCTAAGTCGCCAAAACATGATACACCTTCCGCCCTACCTTTGGATTGTGTTTTGCCCTTTCGCCTTTTATTTATCGTTATTTGTTCGGTCAAAATGTGAAAGATGTGTGCCATTTGATCACGTGTGTGCGGTAAAAGCCCGCTGTCAACACGGGTTAGAATCTGGTGTCGCTTTATTTTCAAAATTTTCGATTCTGTAAGAAAGGTCCTGACAGAAAATTAATATAGAACACCTACCTATAAAGATGACATGCGTACTTATGTCAAAGGGTTATCTCAATTCCGTTTTAGTACCTACCGTGCCTTACACTGCACAAAGCACTGAAACATTTTAGAGTTAAAGAATATGTTTCTCTCACTGGGCAATACATTTGGGCACAGCACATTGATCACTCGATCAAATTCGATCAATTTTGATCGATTTACGTGCTCTGCAATCGTCCCGACTGCATTCATAACTACACAAGCAATGCTAGGCAGCGACCGTGTTGAGAAGATAGTCATCCCTGCCGACCGAACCACATGCCTGAGCGATTTTCAAGGTTCCGCTCACTGCGGTTTATGTTACGAGGACGTGACACCGAGGCCGTTTTTGTGACGATATTGGTCGCTTCCCATTCGATCATTGACGTTCCTTGGAATGGGAAGTCCCGTGTTTGGAATGGGAAGTCCCGTGCTCGCTATATTTATAGACGATGCGCGTGCCTCCACTGTGGAGGCGGGTGCAGGCCACCACCTGTGCTGCTTGCCGAGACTTGACACCAATCCTACACAAAGCGGAAAGCCCATCGACCCAAGGGCACTCCAGCGTGCGTGACGCGCTGTATGCAGTGGCGGACATGTGCGCTAATACGCTGGCCGTGTCTCTTCAGATCACAGTATGTTGACCGTGTGTAGTTGGGGTCAAACGTTGTCGACACCATG